GATAAAATAGATTTAAAAATTACGTACATGTCATAATTGCCACCAGCCATATGTGCCATGAAGCCTGTGCCAAATACGACAATTTTTTTGCAATGGGACCAAAAATTTTTTTTTCGCACGCACTCACAGTACACCCTAGGGAAACCCTGTATCGCGGGTGCCATGGACACACACACAATAAACCACAAATTACACCCAAAGTCATGAGATAAATAAATGTAGGCCATACAAATATTTCTCCCAGCCCGAGAATCGAAACCCGCGTGGCATTCTAGTATTGTAACGGTTCGGCCACGGAGGCATTTGTGCGCATCACGATAAGCCTATCCATAATAGTTGCAGTGCCACTCAGACCTATAAATCGCAAAGATCTGAGGGTCACTGCCATTGCGCCCGTCTCCCTGACACATAAAATTGACAAATCTTACGTGTCTGTAATTTCACGCACCCTTAGCCCTTGAAATAAGGAACGCAGTAACACTCACATTACTGTTTGGCGACAGAAACAGGTAAATTGGCAGTACTTCCCTGGACGAACTCTTTCACAAGGAGCTCTACGACTATTAAAACTATTTATCTAATTCTTAGGTTTCTTCGATTATTACACATTGGAAATGAAAGTATTTTTCGGGTGTAATCGGTCACACAAACGGAAGCAGGGCCTTTACAGGTCCCGTGGTCACGCTACGGGACCTGGGGGCCTACCATAACCTTTCCAAAAACAATGTTATTTCAATGTAATCTTAAAGTAAGCTTATTATAATATTACTCATATTCGTACCATGACGAACCTGTCAACCAAGTAATGTATTATTGCAAAAATGATTGAAAGAACGAATGATTTCCGAATATTATTTATTCCTTACTAAAAATAGAAAAGAGGTAACGCTATGTGAACTATATAATGCATCTCTTTTTTTTTATGTTCCGAATCGTCTTATGTTTAAAGTACTTAATGTTATTTACATTAAGAGAATTTTGACTGTTAAGAAAAGAAAAGTATGTAATAATAAAATCTATTAAAATTACGTTGTTTTCAATTATTATTCCGCATTTTCATGAAGAAAAATAAATAAAACAAGCTGACTTTTGATAGTCACGTTGTGAGTTCGAAACTATAGTCCAGTGTCAACTGTTACTTTCGCCAAGGAGCATATAGTTGGATGGCGCTGTTATAATTTTACGAAATAAACATCGCGTATTTTTATTTAAGGAAAAAATATTTACTGTGTGCTATTAAATAAAAAAATAAACAAAATATTGAAGAGAAATATATAAAAAATAAATAAGTTCAACTTGACTTTTCATCATTACAAATCAATATTAAGACAATAAAACTGAAAATAATATTGTTTCCATTGCATCCGTGTAACTATTTTAAGATTGCTAAATTTGACATATTGTCGCGTCATAATACGAACTGATTGAATGAATAGTCACAAAGCTGCCAATAAAACATCATAGTTTTTACATTACAATAAACTTACTTTAAGAGCGTTATACGAAAAGTCAATGTAAAGTTAAAGTAATATTGTTTTAAGAGGTTGTGGTAGGCGGTAAAGGACCCGCTTCCGCTCCATAGACTTAATATATAGGGTAGCCTGGTCTAAGATGACGCATCCGATAAGAGTACGCAATGTAGATTGCCGAGAAGTTATTTACATTAAGCAACTAAGTTCAATGTCATTTTGTAGTGCTAGGAAGTGGAGATTGTTGTGCGGAAAAATTATCAAAAGTTATTGAAAACCAAGAAAACCTAAGTCTGAACATTTTGATGTATTTGCATAAAACTTTTTGGTACTTTCAAATTGTTACTAAGACTAAACTAAGCATATTTTTTTACACTAACTTTGTATGAAATCGCCCAAAAACTCGTCTAGAGATTAAACTGCAAACGATTCCGGTCACTTGCAACACATGGGGTTAGTAGCAGTTTTATTCTGGAATGGCTGAAGTGTGCAAGAGTACGCAACTCGACGTGTTGCAAGAGTACGCGCGTAGCCTCATACCAATTTTTTAGAATAGTGTACTTCTGAATAAAATTTCTGTCGCCATGCCTCGTTCTAAATCAACAGAAACCTTTTGCGAGAGTCTAGTATTTTTAAAGGTTTAATAGACCGAATGCTCCGAATGTGTCTGAAATATCGGCTGCAAGTGCTTCTAAAGCACCACCACCACTCTAACTAAGGTATGTCCGTGCCACAAGTAGACTCTTCTCAGCTCTCCATGAGCAAAAGCCCATGCATACCGAGACAAAAAATCACATTACCAGAAACGTATGGAGGTGATTCGTGCAATCGATAAACGAAGTCCTATCAAAAAAGGTGTTGCGTACTCTTGCCGACACACATGCGTACTCTGACCCATGGTACAGTGTAAGTGTACGACACGTCTACAAATCCCATTTTGCACTTTTTTATCAATTACAGCCACACTATTAAATATAACTACTTTTCACGTTAGTATGTAAGAGTCAGATAAGTAGAGTATAAAATAAAACAATACTTAGTTGATTTTCTAACACTTTTTGTTTTCATTTTACACGGTTTCAAACCTTAAGTGCATCGTCTTAAACCAGGCTATCTGTACCGCTCGAACTGCGGCCGCAAATCGCACAACGTCTTTTTCGCTATAGCACGGACACACAAGCCTTATCAGACCGTTTAATGGGATTCCGTGTTGAAAAGTATGGTGATTCCCTTAGCTGCTACAGCATATCGCATTATTTTAATTTGGGACACAACAATTTATTTATGTATCTTAATTGCTAATAGCTAAATATATTAATAGCTAAATATATAAATATATTGGGTATTTATAAATCTTACTGTTGATACGATAATGTACTATGTACTAGGGATTTATAGGCGATTGCATCGATGCAAACGCGCGACTGCATCAATACAAACGCTCGATTGCATCGATATAAACGCGTGATTGTAGCGATGGAATCGTGCGTTTGTATCGATGCAACTTTAAGCAACTTCACAGCATGTATTCTGTAGCTATGCCATAAATTAGGAACGTTTATATTACATATAAAAATGTTTCTCAAATAACAAAAACAGAATATAAACATACTGCACTGTTTTATAATAATGATAAATATATATATAATTTCGAAAACTATCGTAGTTTGGACTCTGCGGGAAAAGTATTTTGATTTAATTTTCCAAACGAGTAGGCTTCGTCAATACATAGCTGCACACAGGCGTCTTTTGAGTAGAGGGTTTAAGCTATACTCCTCCACGCTTATCCAATGCGGATTGGGGACTTCTCGCGTTTTCTCAGGGCTGTGAACCATCTTCAAGGTGCAGGTTTCATAACGATGTTTTTCTTCATCGTTAGCGAGAGGTAATGATACAAAACATTCACAAATGTACTTATATATTAAACATAGGTACATACCGCCACATTTCGAACCGTCGTCGACCTGCTCGAACCGCTCTCGTGCTACACTACCATCGCTCAATACGAGTATAGTCTGCATCAGTACTTTAATGGAAAATAATGTAAAAAAACCTTTTTTTGTATACACATACTCACATTCTTGGCCACAATCTCACCTGATGTTAAGCGTCGATGTGATCGACGCCTATTCACTCTAGCCTTGAAAAGTCTCAAATTGTGCTTTTCGCATGTACTCATCAGAAAGGAAGAAGCAAAGCGCTTAGCGTGAATGGGTGGTATATCAACGACATAAGGATGAAGTGTTCCGGACCTTCTAATAGACCGAAGGAGGAACGGTGAGGGTGGAACTAAATTCAAAAGTTCCTGCGCACACTTCCCGAAATGTATACAATAGAAAACCGATAAGTAGACTACTTTTCTGCGAAGGTCAAGGTTTTCTAGCTTCGACTCTACAAGAGAGAGTTGTTGTTAATAAGTCTCCTTGCTCTTCGCTCCACCGAGTCCAAGTCAGCTAACTGATACAAATATTCACAAATGTGCTTACTGATAATAGGCAGAGCCATCCCAAAGGTGGCAGCAGTACTCCATACACGATCGAACCTGTGTTTGAACAGATTTAAAAGCTGTCGAGGTGTGAAGTACCGCCTGACCTTGTAAAGTATGCATAATTTTTTGGCACCACAAAGAAACTGAAACGCACAAAGATAATGAAAACCTTTCGGGGAAACGTAGTACCGCTTTTATAGACACTCATGTTTGTACTCGTAAACTTACTTTTCAATAATGGCAATACCGAAAGTCCCCTAGAATTGCTGAAAATTTGAATTGTTGAAGAAGGATTGTGACCTTTTTGAGGCCTGCTTGTTGTGTGCGTGCTGAACGACCAATGGACGCAGATTGTGTTTGTGTTTTCGAGTTTATTTATTTAGCCGATTTTCGCTTGTTGATTTCAAAGGTTTAACAATGAAAGCTTCGATCTGAGCCTCTTTTCTTTTTAAGGACAATAACCGTTACGATCAAATTTTTCGAGTTCTCAGTTCTCGCTAAAAAATGTATTTAACATTGAAGGTGTTATAGTACATGTATATATACTATATGTTTATGATACAATAAATAACAATTACGTAATAAAAAAATAGTACCTGAAAAATATACCGTGAAATAATTTAAGGGCTAATACAAAATATCGTTCTGCTGTAAAATTCCAGAGTACGGCGTTGTTTGCGTTGTATTTCTATTTTATTCCTTGTGTTTCTAAGAAATCTACATTTGACTAAATTACAGTTCCCTAGATTATGCCTCGTGTCATGTCCTCAAAAACGGGTAGGGTGAATATCTTCAGTTCCCTAAAATAAGGTACGCGTCTCTCTCGCTGACCCACACAGTTTCACATCCACACCAATGGCCCTAACACATTTCTTTAGGGTTTTTCATAATTATATCTATGTTTTTTACACAGTGGCAAAATATGTGTTGTAACAGCGTTTACCTAAAGCAATAGTCCATATTGCAAACTAGAGGCCGCATTGATAAACACAAACAGATAGGATAGTTTCCTACCTAAACAAATAATAAGTTTTGAAACTGACCCATAGATTGCAGCAGCGCCTGCGATGGCTCCACCGCACTGCGCAGCTATGTAAAGTGCAGTCCGCAGCAGTGACACCCGTCTGCGCACGCATAGCGCCGCTGACACTGCCGGGTTGATGTGGGCACCTGCAATAACATGCTGTGATTACTGAAGGGGCATAATAAATTGCACTCGCACCTCAAGTCTTTTGTAAAAAAGACATTGATGACATCCACACAATTAAGTATTATGAATTTACTAGCGTTGCCGTGACTGTTCGTATATAATAATCTCAGTACAGAGTACTAAAAAACCGACCTCTAAAGTCATTCATCCCCTAGTCTGCCACCCTTGGGACCACGTCTGAGGTACCCTCTTTCCAACAAAAAAAGAATTATCAAAATCGGTTCATAAAATTTATCGCGTAACATACATAAAAAAAACAGTCGAATTGAGAACCTCCTTCTTTGTCGGTCGGTTAAACATGATTCTTAAATATGATACGATCTTTATAAAGCTATACAATTTAGAACCTAATAACCTAGAACCTAATAGTGTAGTTGCGATAATTGTACATTAAAAATATGTACATAATGATCAAACCTCTTTGTAACTATTTGTTTTACAATATCAAGTGACTCAACAAACAAGTCGCACGCCTGGTTGTAAGTTACACACCTACCCCTAAGAGTTACAGTACCACTCAGACCTTTATATCTCACAGATCTGAGAGGCACTGCCACAGTGCCCGTCACCTTAAGGCATAAAATTTGTAAGACCCTCCAAAACCGGAATGCAGTAATGCTCACATTACTGTTTGGCAGCAGAAACAGGGAAAGTGGCAGAATTGCCGTGGACGAACTCGTTCTTACTTATCATTAATATCAAATACCTGAATGCAAGTGTACCTGAATTTCTTCCTATTTCTATAAAAAAGTTTCGGGTTCATAGAAATGCACAATTTTATAAATTTTGTCACTCTAAATGAGTTCATGAAAACATATTATAATATTTTTTAAATTTCGGACTGATTTTGAAATACATATTTTATTAAGGTCATAACCCTGCGTCCCTTACGCGGATTAGGTAGGATCAAGGGTAAAGATGGGAAGGAAATGGTACAGAATCCATTTATGACCCCGGTCTGGACATTAAATTAATAAACTAAATAGCTGAGCTGAAAATAAATGCAGATAGTTTATCTTCGTATGATATATACTGAAGTATGATATAAACAGAGATGTTTTAAATTGGTCTATAATTATTTGGACAAAAATATAAACTGTTATCGGCATCACAATTTGAAAAATATTAACAAACATAAAAAACGTTTATCACTAATTACAGGTTCTTAACACGTACATACCGTGGCAAGAAACCTGTAATTATTGAGAATCATTTAGCGAATAACCACAAAAACCGTAAAACTTAAACTTAAAAAAATCCATAGGCTCTTGTTAAGGCTCAGTCACTTATTAATTATAATCCCTTGCTAATGAAGAGCAAATGCCCGCGTCGCTTTGCCAACAACCAAAATTTCGACATACAACTATAGGTTTACGCATAAATTCTTACGGTCCAAGGATTCTATTTCTACAACTACAAAAAATTTTATATGACCTACTAACTACGGGACTTGTGAATATCTCTAACTAGTGTCCCCAAATACTACATGCGCGGGACCGCACTAATTAAAAATAATAATATAATATACAAGATAGTGTGTACATTTAGTATATTTTTACTTTTTACACATACATATTTTTACTTTTTTTATGTTAATGATACAGATTACAGAAAACATTAAAACAATACAAAAGAGAAACATCAGTAAATTTGCATTTCAATGGCACACAGTATTCAGAGGAAATATAATTATATGAATTTGTAAACGAAAAAAAAGCATAAACAAAACAAAAATGATTTTAAATATAACACTAATATATATATAGAAGTATAGTATTTGTTGAAGTGAGCATTACTGCATTTCCTTACATTACATTTACATTAGTACATTCAAATGTGCATAATATGTGAAGTGATTCAGACCCCGGACAATACTATTCCTATGACTCCTATGATCACGTAGCATCCAGCGTATATTATAACTAAAATATCATATTCAAATTTAGCGCTAATTTTTAATGACCAAAGGGTATATAAAGAAAGTTCAAGTCAATTAACTGTTTAGTGACAGACTTATTAAATGCTACAATGCTATTATGGAATAAGTCACGGTTACAACAAATTTGATCATATAATCTACTCACTCGGTAAATTAATTATATTCACACGCACAATCACGTACTCGCATGCTCACACAACTCATCACTTTGTTGTGTTATATATATAGGGTAGTTACTTTAGTGTAAAAACGTAAATTGTAACGATTGGGAGCCCGGAAACCAGTACGTACCACAGGTCTAGTTCTAATTACGTGCTCTAGTGTCTTGCTTAAGATAATTGTGTTTTATTTATTTCACATTTAATTAAAAAAATTAACACTTTCCTTTGTGAGATCTTTATTATTATCTTTATTTAACTGCCTCCGTGGCCGAACTGTTGCACGTCCATAGCAGTTCCAGAGCCAATCAAAGTTTTAAATCGCAAAGATCTGAGTGGCACTATAGTAATATAGTGAAAAGTGTAAAGTAAACATGGGATTTGTCAATTTAAAATATTTCTGATAGTAATATCAGAGATATTTTAAGTTGACAAGTCCCATGTGCCAGTAATTCCACCCCTTATCCTTCAAAACCGGAACGCAATAATGCTCATATTACAGCCTGGCGGCAGAAATAGCTAAGGTAACTTATATTAGGTTAGGTTATATAGGTATTTCCCTGGATTAACTATTTCACAAGAAGCTTTACTGTTACTAAATAACAATAAGGAAAAAAATGACATTTCCGCTTTTATCTATAATTTTACTAATTGCAACTCTGGCATTCCATTGTCACTTAGGAGAGCTTGCGGTAGAGTAGTGGATGTAAGGGTTTAGTAGAAGCAATACAGTGAAGTGCAAGCAGAGATCGCACTAAATATTTAAACCCAACTCTATGTTAATTACGACATGAAGAGTTCAAAGGTCCATAATGTCAATCTAAGCTTGCTTCTTGCTCGTAGTCTGTTATTTAATATATTAGTTTCGCCAAGATAGAGAGTGCTGTGTCGTGTTATTGGTGCGTGAATAAATAATGTTTAGAAAACAATATAGGCGTCATGGTTAATTAAATAAGTTAATTTTTATGTAAAATAAGTTAATTTTACAGTAATATACTGGAATTAGACACAACATTTTTAAGTAGATTGAAGTAGGAAATGAAACTATTTTTCCGGATTTAATACCCTTTTTTAATTTTACGAAGAAAACATTCCAATTTACGCTACATTAAGTATTACAAATTATTTTATTGAATGATTTTTTTATCAAATTAATTATTAATGTAAATTGGCTTTTTCTCAGAAATTATTTTTTTACAAACGATATTAAAGCCATTGTACGTGTTCTATTTAATTCAGTTGATATAAATAAAAAAATCATTGGTATATGTAAATTACGTATTGAACACAGCGGTTTTCTTATAAAATTTCGAAGTAAATTTGTTTTTTTCTGTCGTGAAAATTTTTCAGGAAACCCCAACTCAAAATGGGAAGACCCTTATTTACCTGGAACGACTCCATAAAACATAACATGGAATACTATCAACGTAACGAAGACGACCGGACAGAACTAACTAAAGACAAGGACAAATTTAGGTAAGAAGTTGAAGAAATACAGAAAATTCCAGAAACCGACACCGAATCAGAAGGGGAAAGAAATGATACAACTTGAGCTCTATGGACGAGAACACATCCTCACCCAGGAGAATCCACTAAGAAAGGCAACACGAAGCCCAACACCATCAACGCTCATTCCTAACAACACTATCTAACCACCTACCCAAATAATTAACTAACCTTACTACCTACTTTCTGTCACGCGCTGCATAGCCGGCAGAAATCTGGTCACCGGTTGCGGCTGGTTGGTCTTCCCCTACACAATCCCGGGCATGTGACTCCCTGTCAGATTTACTCTGGCTGGGTGTGGTGCCAATGAGCAATGAGCAATCGTGAAAATTTTTCAGCAATCATGTTTTCATTACTACATATTTTTTCCAAATCGATTGATTCAACACTTCCACTTTTATGGAATAACGCACACACTCAACGCACACACTCAACATAGCCCCGCACTAGGGAAACCCTGTGTCGCGGGTGCCATGGACACACACATAGACAACCACAAATTACACCCAAACTCACGAGAGAAATAATTGTAGGCCATACAACTATTTCTCCCGGCCCGGGAATCAAACCTGGGACCTCTGCGTGGCAGTCCGGCATGGTAACCGTTCGGCCACGGAGGCAGTTAAATATAGTTAAATATAAGAATAAAATAGCTTATTACCACAAATTGTCACTTTTTAACCGACTTCAAAAAAAGGAGGAGGTTCTCAATTCGACTGTAGTTTTTATATGCATTTGTGAACCGATTTCAATGACTCTTGTTTTGTAGAAAGGGGTTACCTCAATAGTGGTCCCGTTCAAATTTTAAAAGAAAATATCCCACCTCTAAGGGTAACATATTAAGGGATGAACCCAGTTTATTGGAGATCACTCACTTTCCGTTAACCGGTTTTAATAAAACTTGCAAAAACCTAAAAAACTTATGAGGCAGGTTTTTTAATAAAAATGTCATTATTATAATTTGCCAATTGAACAATAAGGTAAAGTATAATTTTCTACAAAGAATGTAGACACAATGTATAAATTTGGTTGTTACCCGCTGTGCTTATGGTTGATCACGCTTTTATAAAGATAACGAAGTATACAATCTTTTGCTAATAATTTACGAGTAGCATCTCTCACTTATTTAACTATTTTGTTCAAAGGAATATTACCAGCATCTTGGGTAATAGGAAATTAAAAAAATATATGTTATACACATAAATCTAATTAAATTTTAGATTTCTGTGGTATTTTAATGTATGTGGTATATGAATATTCGAAAATATAACTATATAGTGGGAGAGAGTTTATGTTATTGAAACCTAGGACATTATCAATTATTTATGCAATGATAGGTAGTGATGGTACGAACAAG